TGGTGTGTTTTATGTCGCAGAATAAAACGTGAAAGTATCTTGAACTTGTGTGAACCACGGACCTTATTTTAGAGGATTTAACCAAACTCCCATTCAAAAAACCCATTGACTCTGGGACGATGGATCCGGAAGTGCTAAAATGCTAACTCGCTTCCGGGTTTTTGCCTACAAAGTGACATCATAGTTCCACCACTCTATTGTAGCTCATTTTTAAAATTCATACGCTTTGAAGGCCACTTTAAAGTTTGTACCAAGCTGACATTATTACTTTTTTAAATTATTATTATTTTTAAAGCAAATATATGATAGCTTGACTGAATAAAATCAGCTCTACACTTATAATTAAGATAAATTTAGTAAAAAAAAATAAAACCTAACTCTTGACATTTTTATGTACCGGTTTAGTGATTTAAGCTTCATTTGGCTCCATTATTGCCACTTTAAAGTTTGTACCAAACCTGCATTGTATTACTGGGCTGTGTAATGTTACTTTTTTCAGTTTTTATGAGTGAATGTATGAAAACTCTCCTGAAAACATCAGCTCCACAACAACAACAAAAATATAATTGTAAAAAAAAAATGCCTTATGCACTTGTTCAATGATTTTAGCATTTTTTGAGCTGCATGGGTGAAGATGCATAAAAGCTTTCCTCCATGATGAAAAGCGAAAGTCAATTTAATAGGAAGGAAAATCTGAACCATTGTGTGTCACAAGTTCAAAAGTGATTTTTTTTAAATGCACGGCAATTCTTTTGACAGCAGCTACCATTTGTGACGGTTTTACATCGGTTCCATTAGTACTACTGATTGTGATGGTTTTATAGCAGCCCCATTTATACCACCTTTCGTGACACTTACAGCAGCTCCATTAATACTGCCTTTTTAATGGTTTTACAGCTCAAGTACTTTGATAGCCTCTTAGCCGTGCTAGCCTTAATCACACTGATGACATATGATTTCACTCTTGTGTCAGATCACCTTGACAACCATCGGTTACGGTGACAAGACCCCAAAGACGTGGGCAGGGCGTCTTCTGGCCGGGACCTTTGCTCTTATTGGTGTGTCGTTTTTTGCTCTTCCAGCCGTGAGTACAGCTTCTTTTTTTCCTAAAATGCATTTTCGCTGTTACAAATTACAGTATAATTGCTAGACTATCCACCTTATTTTTAACGTAAGAGCAGGTACGGCCATTTGTAACTTACGTTGTCATCTGCTTCCAGTTATTATTCTAGCTCTACAAAAACAGTCTGTTATGTTGCTTGATATTGCAAACATTTAATTTATTCATTTTATATAAAATATTACTGACAAAACTCATTATATGCATCTTTAACTACACAGTGTCATATGAACAGCAAATCAATCAGTCTCACAAGATTTAACCCTATTGAAAAAAACAGCATATGCTGGTCAGGTATGTTTTGAAGCATGGAAGCTGGTTTGAGCTGGTTTAAGCTGGTCATGTGCTGGTCCTAAGCAACTAGCTCCTGCTCAGGACCAGCTTAGGACTGGCTTAAACCAGCTCATGACCAACTAAGGACCAGCTTAAAGCAGCTCAAACCAGCTGCCATGCTTTAAGATCTCCTCAGCACCGCGATCCCCCTCAGCAGCGAGGGCTTTCTGACAGCGTGTCCCTCCTTCCTCTCGGGTTTCGGCACCAATGTAACAAAGTTCGTAGTTCAGGAAGAATCGCTCATTATCAATTACGCCACCGGCCTCGCTCCGTTCCCACGGCTCTCGGCCCCGCCCCCACTCGTCACACATACCTAACCAGCATATGCTGTTTTTTCTACAGGGAAGTGCAGCACAAATTGTAAGCTGAATGTGTTTGATTCACTAACACAAACTGACTCATAAGAGAGATCCGAGCAGCTCAATCCTTAGCCATCTTCAAGAAAAGGCTAAAAACACATCTCTTCCATCTTTTTTTGACCCTTTAACACTTGCACTCACTATTCGTTTTCTAATTGCTTGTTTTCAAAAAAAGGCCTCTAACACTATTATTTTTCTATTCTATCTACTTGTTTTCTTCTTATTTATTATATAAAAACAAACAAAAAAACACCTTGCTATGTGTACTGCATTCGGCTAACCGAGACTTGTCATAGCACTTGCATATTATTGCTCTTTTGTTGGTTTTGATCGTTTCTGTTGTCCTCATTTGTAAGTCACTTTGGATAAAAGCGTCTGCTAAATGACTAAATGTAAATGTAACATAATTCGGTTTGGAAATGGTTAGGTATGACAGTATGCTATTTTAAAAATAGCCTACCAGTTTATGCTAAAATCTGGTTATGTTTGTAGGGTATTCTTGGTTCTGGGTTGGCTCTGAAAGTTCAGGAACAGCACAGGCAGAAACACTTTGAGAAACGCAGAAATCCTGCAGCATCATTAATACAGGTAACCAAAAACAAACTTAAATCAGCAGTAAATTCACCCCTTTAGGCTCATTCCTCAACTGCACATTTGCTTAATATTCAATACTGAATATTGATTTCAGGCTGCATGGAGATACTACTCCACCAACCCCGTCAGAGACGATCTCATCGCCACATGGAGATTCTATGAAACTGTGATCTCTCTGCCATGCTTCAGGTATCATACACATACATCGCTCACAAAAAAAATCATTTGAATATATTTTAGTTTACAGGGACTTGCCTTTATGTTGGTCGTCATCATCATGATTTCATGTTATGCCTGGGTTGTTTTATGATTTCACAGATACTCATGACAGATTTCACTTGTTTTATTCTCATGATTTTACGTGCATCTCTTTTTAATGTTCATTTGTTTTGTTTATTTCCATATGTGTGTTTGTCTGCATGCAGAGACAGCATCATCTAGAGGTCTGCTAGAGGTTACAGGGAGGTACTCACACCTGTGCGTGGACAATTTACTTTTCCATCATAATTGTAAAAAAATTATTTGGTTGGAGCCTGAATACAAGATATAAAGTGTATTAATATAAGAAAAAACAAACATTTGCAGCAAATAAGCGATATTTGAGCATATTTATATCTTCTCAAAATGTGAAATTAGCTTTCAATAAATCAGTGCAAAATGTGGTGCTTGTTTGATAATTTCTAGAATTAACGCAGTCTCAAATAATCACTACTGACAGGGACAAATGTATACAAATATAGGTCCATTTTACACTTTTAAGAGCCCTACCAAAAAAGTGGACTCTACTCTAATAAATGTAATTTATTTGTTGTTTTAAAAAAATCTGTCAGAAAACACAAAAATGTTCAGAATGTCTTCGATTGACTAATGGCTGAGTTTGGGAGCAGGACTCAGTTATTACTATTAACTAAAACTAAAACTTTTAAATACATGTCTATTATCTGAAATAACGCAAAAAATAAAATAAGATTGAAATATTACATGAAAAACATTACATGGAAAATAGGAACGTTGCTTTGGCAACTAACTGAAATAAGTTGAAGCACTGAAGTGGCCAACTTGAAATAAATAAAAACTAAAACTGAAATAAATCTAAATTAAACCCAAATAGTAATTATTATTAAATATAAAAATAAATGCTAAGTCTTGAAATCTTTTAAAAATCTCTTTTAAATGTAGCTGCTGTGCTCCCTTACTGACACTTGGCATTGTGATTTCAGTTAGCAAACTATATCTTACACTATTCTATTGATATGTTTACTTATTTTTGGTACATTAAATTAATTTCAGAATTATTTACCAATATTACCAGTTATATGAATATATGTTTGTGCAAGTGTATACTCAAACACACTCTAGTGGTCATTTGGTGCAAATGAAGAGAGTTTTGTTGTCATAAATGTGATCTGGTCAAACTAAATATGTGTGTTGTTTCTGTCACCTGCAGGAAGGAGCCTCTTGAGGTTATGGCTAGGTAAGTCTCTCTCTCTCATTCCCTCTGTCTCTCGCTCACTGTTTTAAAGATTTACAGCATCTCTGGGAAGTGTGAGATTAATGAATCTGTGAAATGTGTTTCCTTAAATAACTCCTAATAATAACCACCACCTCCATTAATTCAGTGCCAAAGGCGTAATGACCAGCAGTGCGTTTCTGTGTGTGTGAGAGATTGGGAGAGCTCGTTTCTCAGTTCGGGGACACGCGGACAGTAGTTCTATATGTGATATTACCGAGTCCATTAGAAAAGAGTGAATTATGGGTCACTGATAGATGACGGTGTCAGAGCAGAGCGAGGGAGAGGGAACATGAGTGTGTGTGGGAGAATTTAATGGACGGCTGGATGTGTGACGTCCGTGTCACTGTAAAGAAAATGATGGCAACTGTTATTAGCGATCTAAGCATGACGAGCCTTGACAAAGATGGACTGCGTATATAATAATCATGAGTATCAGTTGTCCTTGACCTGGACACTGGCCTGACAGTCCATTTGTTAAAAGACGGAAGATTTACAGATAGAAACAGAGGGAGAGTTGGATTGAGTGCTGGGCTTGTTTGTAGCGCCTGACCCGAGTCCTGTAATCCATGTTCAGTCCAGATCAGAGATCAGATTACACATTAATACTGCTAATACATTAGTGCAAAAAACACACACCTACACAAATACACACCTGCGCAAATATCCACATACACTGGGAAACTTGTAGCTTGACATTATCACTACCGGTGACCTACCAAGTCCAAATGGAGAAACTAAAGCAAACACGCACACTTTTACTTTAATATCATGGAAAAGACTTTCGTTCACTTAATTATTTATTTTTTTGTACTGAGCTGAAGATATTTTCTCCACCTAAGGTTGTGAATCGAGAACAGTTTTTTCTTCTAATTTTCTTGATGTTTGGTTTAGCTAACTGTTCTTGAATGTCTAAATATAAAAACAAATAGAGAGTCCACATTTCTATTGCATTGTCCTCATAGTCCAATTCAGGAACAAATGACTCTTATGAACTGATTCTTTTGAGTGAATCAGTAAAAATGATTGACAGATATGACCTAAAGAGTTCAATTATTGACTGGTTTTTCATATGACAAAATGTAGTTAAAGATAAACATTCAAAACAGTTTTGTTGTAATAAATGGTAATTTTTTGTTAAAAATAAAAGTTACCAGAATATGGAGCCCATATAGGGACACGGAGATGGGAAACAATATTATATTTTTAAGTTTTCGCATTCGCTCACAAAACTTGCGTTCTTTTGCAAAGGTATTGCATTCCCCTAAGGAACTTTGCATTCACAAAATTTTTGTATTCTCTCGTTAATGTATATGCTTCCCTGAGCACTGTTTTTCCTTCCACCTCTTATTATTTCTATTATTTCTATTTTGCAAGGGCATGCAAAGTTTCTCAGGGGAAAGAAAAATATTTGTGAAAGAATACAAACTTTAATAAGGGAGCACAATGGTTTTGCAAGTGAACACAAAGTTTCTCAGGAGAATGCAAAATATTTGCAAGCAAACGCAAACTTTATCACGGGAAAGTTTTGCAAACAAACATTTTTTAAGGAACACAAAAGTTTGCGAGAAAACGCATTGTTTAGCATTATTGTTTAGTTAGACTAATTATTGAAAGGAAGAGCTGCTTTTTCAAAAGTGCTCAGTAAAAGAATCAATAATGGACTTGCTAAGTTGAATCAGATTCCTGATTCCTTATGACTTCATTTCCTGACTGATACTTTAAGCCAAAGCTTCACACAACCTTTCTGCACTTTTACATTTTTATTAGTGATTGACCGATATTGATATTTTATAACCGATACCGATACCAATTATTTGCGTGTTTATGTGCCCGATAACCGATATGCAGAACCGATAATTTTAAACTACAGTTTTAGTAGGTTTATAAGCGGTTTAATAGGCTTAAGAGTGAAGAATAATTCACTGGATAATGTTAATTCACTGAATAATATTCTCTGGAATATTGAAATATAACAAACAAAACCTTGTATTTTATTGCAATTCTCAAAACGTTTATCGGTGAATCGGATATTACAAAACTGATATCCGATTATTGTAAAATGCTTAAATATCGGGAAAAATATCGGTAAATCGACATATCGGTCGATCTCTAATTTTTATTAAAACATTGTCTAGTATGCAGGTGATTTCAGGTCTTACCATCCATTTACAGACATTTTGTTCCCAAAATGTAAGCAAAACCTGACCCACTGGTACAAATGCATACAGACACACACACACGCACACACACACATACAAACAAAGCCAAATGGCTGGGAAACCTGCAGCCTGACATTATCAATGACCTACTAAAACAAGTCCAAAATGGAGAAACTGGACCATACACACACTGTTAAGTAGCTTGTGATATTTTGCTCCATTCATTTTTTCATGTGAAATCTATGCGTTGATTCTCTTCCTGTCTGCTCTCACGTTTTCACTGCTTTCCTGTATGTCCAATGAATCTACAACACACACACATAAACACACAGAGTCACTTTTCAATTATTAAAACCCTCTCAGACAGTTTGAATTGACTGTAGACAGATTGTGTTTTGTGTGTGTGTGTGTGTGTGTGTGTGTGTGGGAAAGTGTTGTATCAGTAACTGGTTGGTAATAAGCTGTAATTGTGGAGCATTTCAAGATGTTTCAGTCCCTCTCACCACTTCAATCTTCTTCTTTTCACTGTACCCAAGAGATACTGTGTGTGCCGCAGCACATAGACTGTGTGTGTGTGTGTGTGTGTGTGTGTGTGTGTCCATCCTTGGGGACCCTTCACAAGAGAATGCCCTGCGTTGTTTCTTTGGAAGGGTTCAGTTTCTCCTGCAGTAAGAGAGAGAGAGAGTGTGAGTGTGTGTGTGTGTGTGTGTGTGTGTGTATGC